ATTGTGTACCAATGAGGGAGTTTTTCTTTTGCTTTTCAAGGAGAGGAGCAAAGGGGGGGAGGGGTTTGTGCTGGGAGAAGGGTGCAACAATGAATGAATGGAATTCCAAAATCTCTGTAGATTTTCATTGAAGTGAAAAATAAACTAAATTAAATAAAAAAAATACAAGAGTTCAAATTAATGCTAGATCTTTGTTCTTATGCTGGAGTAATAAGAATTCCCAGAGGTGGGCCTAGGCAGGGTGAACCACTCACCTCTCTTTCCTGTAGCAGTCTGCGAAGTGTGCGTTTTCGGACAATGTGCCGCCTTCGCATGAAAAGGCCAATCCCAAGTGCCATCACCACCAACAAGAGGAGACCACCCACAATTCCGGTAGCAATGGATGGGATCTTGGGCCTGGAAGCAAGTGGAAATGTAAGAGAGGGTGGGGCTTGCTTTCATTACATTGGCTTTTAACACATTTCCTGCATGTGTATTGACACAATGAAGTAATTTCTGAGGTTATCTCAGAGAGTGAACATTATGCAGCTCTTAAAGGAGGAAGAGAAAGACTAAGGCATCTAAGGCTTTGAGCTTTCTCAGACAGAGGAGACAACTGTGTCCTTAATTCTTCTTTTTAAAAATTGAGGTATATTCTCTCCATAGAAGAGTAAGTAATTTTAAAAGCTCTCTAGTTTACGAAAACTCACTCAAAAAGAAGACCATATTAAATAATGAATACATATTCTGTTCATCTTAAGAGTACGCCCATAGAGATCAGTACTCCATACACATGACATGTGTAAGGTGCACAGGTCACACTGGATGAGGGAACCTTTTCAGTGACAAGACTACTCTGAGATCCTTAGCTTTCAGCTGGGACCCATATCACATGACTCATTTATAGAAGTGGTTGTGAAGCGATAGGACTGACATAAAAACCACCATTATCATAGTTAAATGATGTCACTAAGTAGCCTTACACTGGTCTAGTATATCCTTCTTCCCACAGATGTCATTTATACTTTCTGGCAGAGCAAGAACTCAAATGTTCACACTTACTGGGGACTGGGTCAGCTGAAGTAATGAATGCTAAATCTGCAATATTTACAATGATATTATGTTGAATATTTATCACATATGAGGTGCTAGCAAATGGTTTAATATTTTCAGGTCTAAATGGATAACAAAGACTCATTAGCTGCATCATTTGTACCTAAAAAAGGTGCCAATGTCTGCAAAATTTTCTAAATGTGTCAAATGTTCTTAAGTAAAATGACAGTTTATAACACTTTCTTCTTAGGGAGTGCAAACATCATTTCATTAATGATACTAGACGCACAATTAACACAGTTTGAGATGAGGAGTTTTACTTAATTTTAAAGGGAACATAGAAGAGAAGAGAAATAGGAAAAAGAGTAGGTGTTCCTTTGACAGCGAGCATAAAGAGGAGACTTGGGAAACAAGGGTTAAGAAGAAAAAAGTCAGTGTAGCAAACATTGATAAAAGCTTGGCTTTTATAAGGTAGGAATATGATGGAAAACCTCTTTACCCTGATACTGATTAAATGTTGGTGACAGGAAAGGTTTCAGTGGATCCTCTTGAAGAGATAGGGATAAAAGGGTGAATTTATATCTGAGAAATTGCCTTAATTCTCTTTACTTAGTTAACTGAAGGTAGGAAGCATCCATTATCATAGTCATAGCAGAAGAGCATACTGCAGTTGAGAGAGAACTGTTGTAGAAAGTATTCTGTAGTTCTACTTTGCTCAGTGCATTCCTTCAAGCCATGATTGTCAATCATTGAACGGAAATGCTGAGGGAAGCCCAAGTGCCTTTGCTGGGCAATGCCACTGGAGAAGTAGCCATGGGAGTTGGCAATCCTCCAACCTGGAGCTTTGTCATCAAACAGAGTCCATTCAAACACAGGTTTGGAACATAGGGCACTTAGGCCAGCAGGAAGAGAAGAAGGTAAGCTGAAAGAGAAGGATCCAGCATAACTTTTGTAACCAAAGAGGTGAGAGACTTATGTATGAAAAGAAGAGCCTGAGCATTGAGCACATTGAGGACCCTGCACCTCACATATCCTGTTTTCTCACCATAGACACAAATCTCCAAAGTCAGCATGCAAGAGGAAGGTGGAAGCAGAAGTAAGACTTCAACAAAGCCAGAGGATAAGAATTTCTGGTCATTTCAGATAGAGGCCAATATGTACAAAACTGTAACACTTACCCATTTGTTGCACAGCCTTCCAGACCTGGCCCAGCACAACTGTAGGAAGTGAAAGAAAAGTAAGTATTTTGCTTATTTAATATTTTTCTGGAGGTTTTTAAAATGAAATGATGTTAAAATATGATTAAGATCCTTATCAGGTAATTAACATCACAACGTATGTCAATGATGCAGTGGTAATTATGTATTCTTGTTTTCACAGGTTCAGTAAATGTCTTTGCATATCTTCTCTGTCTGTGCATGAAACAATGCACTCAGCCTCTGGCCTTGCTACGGAATTGGTTTAATGTAATACTTTCAACACAAGGCTAGTTGGCTTACAGAGGTCTCTGCCATGTCGATACAAATAAGGGAGAAAAAGGAGCCAGAACTAGTTGCTGGGGTCATACTAAGGACAAGATGGCAGTAGGGAGGTTTAGGACAAAGACTAGACTTTACTCACTTAGCAGTGAAAGACTAGTGAGGTTGATCACAAGGACACTAATTAGAAGGTTATTCGACAGGCTGAGTGAGAAGGAACAAGTCCCGATGGAAAAGTTTATGGCAATGTGAGTGTCAGAAAGGAAGTACACAAGAGACACAGTATGAACTTGGCACCCATCTTAGAGGAGAGCCAGAAAGGAAAGGGAGGTGGGCAGAGAGGCTGATGTTCACCTCAGTGGCAGGGAAATGGCAATGATGTGTAAAGATACAGATAATCGAAGCCATAGCTAGCCTCATTGAAATGTCCTGTATGGAATGTCCTAAGTGGAGAGGCAAAATTTGGTCAGCTTTAGATGTTACTCTTGCACAGCTGTACTCTCATTTTGGTGAAGCAAGACATTAACCATTGTTTCAGTTACAGGATGATGGTTAAAGGGATAGATTAAGTTTGCTTTAAAATAGTCATTATGAATGTCAATAGGAAAACAAAAATATTCCAATTAAATGGAAAGACATTACTTGATGGATGAGTAGCTACAATTCACATGTAAGAAGGCATTTAGGGTGACTTGTTTGACACTGTCATCTGGTCCTAAATGTTTTCTTTATTTTCGAGTATTGGTAAAAAAAGGTTTCCATCTGCACACTAATGCTTTCTTTGGTTTTCAAGATCTGGGCTCTCCCTCTTTTCTTTGTGCTCACATCCCTGTGATGTGTTGAAGCCACATCCCTATAATGGATACACAGGCTTCTTCAGGCTATGGATGTGCAGGGCATCTGATACACGGGGTGACAATGTGTGAAATCTGACTCAATGACAACTAACAATAACATAGTTAAAGATGAATGAAAGAAAAAGAATATGTATATAAATCAATGGACCAATCATTGGTAAAATTAATCACCCACCACCCACTCAGAATAACACGCCACACAGAATTTTTCTCCATAATGTCTCGGAATGGCATTGTTCCCTGACTGTTGAATAGAATGCTGTGTGGATATGATCCAAAGCAGCAACATATTTATAAACTTTTTATTTTGGTCTTTCCAGTGAAATAGCATTTGTGAGTTGTCACATTTTAATAAAAAAGTTTCAAGATTAAATTGGATCTTAAACATTGTTCCAGTGACAACGTTTTTCTTCAGGTAATTAGGTTCATTCCCACCCCGCCTTGGTTTTGGTAAATTAAAGGCATGCTTGAACATTTTTAGGGCTCATGGTTTGGGGTTTTTGCATACTGTCAAGGTGCAAACAACTCATAGCTGACCATCATTAGATTTTTCAGAGGCAGTAAACCAAATGGGAGTAGAATGCCTACCTTTTTTTCCCATGGAGCAGCTGTCAGAATTTGTACTGTGTGCATATAACTTCTTACCACTAAGCCACTAGAGCTCCTGCTTAGAGCTACAATGGATACTTTGGGCACCAGTCATCAGAAAATCAAAAGATGAGTTGTGATAGGAAAGTCTGCTGTCAAGGACCTCTCCAAGAATACTGAAGCAATGATGTCAATCTAAAGGCTAAGGTGTGTCTGATCCAAGTCATTGTTGTTTGCTGTCAAGTTGGAAGTGACCCACAGCTGATCTTCCAGTGGGTTTTCAGAGGTAGTTAATCAATGGTAGGAGATTAACTTTCTTGTAGAGCAGCTGATGGATTTGAGTCACATCCCTTTGGGATTTTAGTGCAGCTACTTACAATTAGGTCACCAGAGCTCCCTGATCCAAGCCATAATCCTTTCAATTGCTTACTTCACATCTGAAACCAGGACAATGACTAAAGATGACAGAAGAAGAATTGATGTCTTCAAGTTGTGATATTGGAGAAGAGTAGTAAACATCCCTTGGGCTGTCATGGAGAAAGTAAAATCACTGGTGCCCTTTGGAGGCAACAATAGTAAAAATCTGTCTCACATACTTTGTGCATGTTGGAGGAGCCAGTCCTTGAAAATGGACACAGCTGCTTCGAAAGATAGAGGGTCAGTGCAAGAGAAGAAGACCTTCAACAAGATGGATCGACACAGCAACTGTAAATAAGGTCAAGTATGTTGAGTGGTGAGGTTGGCTGAGGTGGGGAAAGGTTCAGAGTTGTTGTTCACAGGATCACTAACAATCATATTCAACTTTCTAGCACATAACAAGAGCAAAAACAACATGGTTTAAGGAATCTAATTAGAAGGTCCTGTACCACTATTTTTCTTTTTTATTATAATTTGAGTAAAAGTTCATGAAGTTCAAGGACTTCAGAAAATATGAGATCACATGAAATATTACAATCACCACTCACATTTCCTTTCTGAATATGAGAAAAACCCAGTATGATTCTCCAATCTGTTACCCCAGGAAAGAAGATGCGTACAATTAGAATGCCTCTTCTAATTCCAGTAAACATAGTCTTAATTCACTTGCCTACAATTTAGTGATCAATTAATTAAATTTAATTAGCCAAAAATCCAGGAAATACTAGTTTTATTAATTAGAAATCATCAGCAATCAATTCCTATACTCATCTTTGTATTCCAGGGTGATAAGTAAAACTAGGAGATATCTGGAAAATTGGGGAAGAAAGGCAAAGGTGGTGGCTGGCAGGACTTACAGGTGCATTCTAGCTCTAGCTTGTTCTATTCTAGCTTATTCTTTGTAGTGTACCCTGCTGAGACCTAGTGGGATAAATGTAATGAAACATAGAAATATTCCAAATAGCACACCCAAAGAACATGCTGTAACTGATGCCATGTACATAATGCTAATGCACTTTAAATAACTGACTCAAACACAAACTTCTGCAACATATTACCTGGAAGCCTGAGAAGTGGAATTTGCAAGAGAGGAAATGATTTGTTATTTTGTATTTTCTTTCTTAGCGGCTAGACAGGCACTCACCCAAAAGTGCAGTTTGCATGGCACAGGCGGCACACGTGATTGGCATCTGCATACTTCCAGACCAAGGTGTTGTTTTCTCCCAAGATTCCCGCTGGACAGGTTTTGACACAATGCGGGCCATCGATGTAGTGGGCACACTGTATACAATTGTCAGGGCCCTGTGCAAGAGAAAAAAAAACATTTATACATGTTTATTTCTTTCAAAAGTAGAATTAAATGTCAACTCAAAATTCATTTAGTATTAAGAAAATCCAAATTATATCAAAGCTCCCAAAATATAAAATAAGTTGGCCCTCATCTGATATAACAACAATTAATAGTTAGCAAAAATTCTTTCTAATATCCAATTATGTTGTTCTGTACTGTAGAGTTGGAACTGACCCATAGATGACCCTCAAGTGAGGTTTCAGAGGCAGTTAATTGCACAGAATGAGAGTATCCACTCTTTTCCAGCCATACAACTGGTGGCTTCAAACCGTGTGCCTTCAGGATTGCAATGCAGCTTCTTGTCACTAGGCCATCAGAGCTCCCTAACATCCAATTACATAATATATAAAATAATAAAAGAAATAAAACGGCATATTATTTCATTGTGTGAATATATCACAATTCTCAACTCATTCCTTTGTTGATCGGCATTGAGGCTGTTTCCATTTTCTTTCTATTGTGAATTATGCTGCAATGGACATAGGTGTAAATATCTCTGCTAGTGTCTCAGCTTTCATTTCCTTGAGGTATAGTCCTAATAATTAAATAGCTGGGTCAAATGAGATTTATATGTTCACTTTTTTTGAGCAAACACTAAACTGCCCTCTATATTGGTTATACCATTTTGCAATCCCACCATCAGTGGAGAAGAGTTTTAATTCTTCTACATCCTCTACAACATTTACTGGTGGTAGTTGTGTACACTTTACTACTGCTGTTGGAATGAGATAGTATCTCATTGTTGTTTTGATTTGTATCTCTCTGATTGCTAGTAATTTTAAATATTTCCCTATGTATTTGTTAGCCATCTGAATGCCCTCCTTTGTGAAGGTTCTTTTCATGGCTTTTGTCCATCTTGCTATTAGATTTTCAGTCTTTTTGTTGTGGATGCCCTATAGTATTCTGCAAACTTTAATTATGAGGTCCTTGTCTAAAATGTCACTATCATATATTTTCCCCCCAGTCTGTGGGCTTGCAGCACAAAAGAATAGTGAAATACTCATAAAATATGACACAATATGGGAAGTCTAGACACCATTATGTTGAGTTAAATAACTCAGTCACAAAAGCACAAATATTGCATGAGATCATTACTGTAAAAATAGAAGGGTAACTGATGGGATTGAGGGCAGGGTGGGAAGGAGAATAGAAAAAAAATGTAAAGACAATGAGTGCTATAGGTACCAGGAAAGGGAAAGACCAACTTGGGAAGAACAGAGTAAGCACAATACAACTATTGCAATTAGCAAATAAAAGCAAGTTAACTATTCAAAGGGAGAAGGAGAAAATGTTTGCAGAAGAACAGGCAATTGTAATGGGGACTTGATGATATGGGATTATAGAAGTCGTTGTGGTTGTGAAGCAGTGAAAGATTCAAACCACATGCCTTTGGGATGGCTGTGCAGCTTCTTATCACTAGGACACCAGAGCTCCTGGATGGAAGTCACAGATCAATAATAACTGATTATATAAAACATAATATATAGATATTATCATATAAAAACATGTATGGGAATTAAACAATGTATATGAATGGCTGCATAAAACACAATGCAGATAAAGGAAGCATAATACTTATGGATGAAGGTACACAAACCAATATAGACAAAAATCTGAATTATATTATCATTGCATTTTGCTTTATACATTGTAGACATCTTTCCATGTTAAACTGATATTGACTGACCTATATGGATATGTACACCCTTCAAGATCAGACCTAAACTGTACATTGTATATGAAAATAAAGGAAATATATGATGGTAGCCAGAAGTAAGAAAACTCTCACTTGCATGTCTCTATAAGTGACAAGAATATGACCAATATAAGTGCAAGGGCGCTTGTATAAAGAACTGTGCAACATGCTAATTAGGGTCAGTTTGCCAAACTTGAGTTATAAGAGTTACAAAGTTAAAGCACTGAGCCTGCTGAGTCATGCCACTAACACTTCATAAGGAACCTGAAATACAGCCTTCAAGGAAGGACTATCCAGTTGGGTCCACTTTCTAATAATTCCATGTGGTTCACTCAAAGGCTGAATGGACCCAAAGCTAGAGTTGACTCAGGCAAAAACACTGAATAATTAACTTTAAAAGTAAGGATTGGCCATCCACTTCCAAAATATAACAGGCCTTCAAAAACCCTATGTACAGTAGAGCTCACTTAGACTAACAGATATGACAACTGAGGCTGAGACCTCAAATTTGTAAACACGAAGGAGGAAGAACAGTTGTAAGAAGAAACTAACGACTGGAACATGGAATGTGAGAATCATGAATACAGAAATACTAGACATTGTTAAGAAAGAAATGGAACACATAAATATTGACATATTAGGTATTAGCAAAGTGAGACGAATTGGCATGGGGCATTTTGCATAAGATGATTGATTATATGATCTACTATGCTGGGATGAAAGGTGAGAAAAAATGGGGTGGCTATCATATCACTCATCTGTCAATTTGATGTACAGAAGTTAACTTGTGGTTGCTGGAATGCGAAACACTGTGACACTGATATGTCAAATTCAATGATTACCCATGCTAGACAGTGTTTAATGGAACTCCCAGATTAAAAGAGGCATGGAAGCAGAAGTGGCATCCACTTCTGAAATAGCTTGCCTCCAAAAACTATGAACATAGAGAAACAAGTGTTCAGGTCTTTCGTTCCTAGGGTCATTATGAGTAGTCTACAACTCAACGGCACTTAACAACAACAACATCATAGTTTTAAAGGACATTTCTAGCTCTATCTTGAAATAAAATTTTGTGAGTGACAAGAAAATATCCATATGCATACAAGGAAGGCCCATTAATATCACTATCATTCAAATTTATGTGTCAACAACCAGAGCCAAAGAGGAGGAAAGGAGGAAAGAAATGATTTCTATCAATTGTTGCAGTCAGAAAACAATTTAACATGTAGCCAAGGTGCATTAATAATAATGGGTGACTGGAATACAAAAGTTGGGAACCAGGAAGAAGGATCAGTAGTGAATAAATATGGACTTGGTGACAGAAATGAGACTGGGGATAGAATGATATAATTCTGCATAATCAAGGGTTTGTTTATAGCAAATACCTTTTAGAAGAAACAAACAGAGGCTGTACACATGGATTTCACCAGATGGGAAATTAAAAGAATTGTATTGGTAAAGTCTGCTATCGGAGACCTTTCCAAAGTACTGAAGAGCAATGGTGTCAGTCTAAAGACTAAGGTATACCTGATCCAGGCCATAGTCTTTGCAATTACTTGCTATGCATCAGAAAGCTGGACAATGACTAGGGATGATAGAAGGAGAATTGATGCCTTTGAGCTGTGATGTTGGACAAGAGGAATGAACATACCATGGACTACTAAGAGAGCAAGTCCATCCTAGAGAGGGTGAAACCAAACTGTTCCTTGAAGTCAAGGTTTCTGAAGCTTTGTTTGATATACTTTGGACATGTTGCAAGGAGGGACCAGTCCTTGGAGAGGGACATCATGCTTGGGAGGGTGGAGGGACAGGGCAAGAGAGGAAAACCCTTGATAAAATGGATTGATTCAGTTACTGTGGTAATAGGGGTGGTTGTGTCAGAGACAATAAAATTGGCACAGGATAGAGCAGGGTTTAGGTCTGTTGTACATAGGGTCGTGATGAGTTGTAGGTGACTTAGTGGTACATAACAACACCACCACCACCAATAAAGGAAATAGGAAAATTCCCAGAAATCCACACCTTACTCAGATTGACAATATTCAAAGGAATGAGGTAAAATTAAATCAATATAAATGGACTATTATGAATATCTATACTCTGGTCCTGTCCTGTCCCCCTTCCCCATTCATAAATTGAGATACTTGCGAATAACCTAACTGGATATACTGCAATCTTGAAGTTATGGGGTTCAAGGCCATCAGCTGGTCTGCAGAAGGATGGGCAATTTCCTCCTGTGCAATTACTGCCCCTGAAAACCTACTTGAGGGTCAGCTATGGCTCTGCTCTGACTCTACAGTACACAACAACACAACAATAAGATATATAAAAGATCTTATAAATAAAACTACAAATTATTACTGTGAGAAACAATAAGAAGGTCTGGTGGCCTATTGGCAAGAAGCTGCACTGCTATCACAAAGGTGTGCGGTTTGAATCCACCAGATGTTCTGCTGGAAAAGGAGGAGAGGCCTTTTCTTGTGCCAGTCAGATCCGATTCGATGGTGCACAATAAGGAAAAAAAAGCACACCAAAAAACCGAAACTAAATAAATTGGAAAACGTTCCTTGTTTGTGGAAATTTTTGTTTTATGCCTTTGAGCCACCTGTGATTCTCAGTGACCCTATGTACAATAGCTCTAAACACTGTCTTATCCTGAGCCAAACTCTCTGTTTCTGACACAACTGACCCTATTATTCCAGTCACTGTGTCAATTCGTCTCATCTATGGTCTTACTTCCCTGCGTTGTCCCTCCATCTTTTTAAACACAATGTCCTTCTCCAAGGACTGGTCGTGGATTGTTGCTGTTATGAGCCGTCGAGTTGCTTGCGACTCATAGCAGCCCTATGCACAACAGCCCTAAACTCTGCTCTATCTTGTGGCAATGGCACTGTCTCTAACACTCCCATCCCTATAACCCCAGTCACCGAATCAATCCACCTCATAGAGGGCCTTCCCCTCCTGTGCCGTCCCTCCACTCTCCCCAGCATGATGTCCTTCTCCAGGGACCGGTCTCTTCTTACAACATGACCAAAGTATGGTAGACAGAGCCTGAGAATACTTGCCTCCAAAAAGCCACCTGGTTTAACCCTTTCTGGGATGAATCTGTTTGTTTTCCTAGCAGTCCATGGTACTCTCAATATTCTTCTGCAGCACCACAGCTCAAAGGCATCAATTCTCCTTCTGTCCTCCTTGGTCATTATCCAACTCTCTGATGAATAACAAATGATTGTGAACATTATGGCCTGTATCAGA